TGTGTAACTGAATTTTGGATTTTTAAAATATTTTTTAATATTTATTTTATTCTTTTATAGCTTAATTAAATGAAAAAAAAATCTTTTCTTGGAAATCAATATTTAAAGAAGGTGCCTGTTCGATCCTAAACAACTTTTTAGTTTACTGAAGAATTTTTGTGACATTTTTTGTGGTCGTTATTTTATAATTTTTAAAAAATCGATTCTCAAAACGTAACCATCAAAACGGATGATTTTGAAAGTCGACTTTGCGCTCAAAGTCAGTAATTATACATCATTAAAGCGTTTTATATATTATCATTTCATGCAAATTTTCCGTTTAAGAATTGTAAATTTAACCAGATGCAATGCAGCCTAAAGTCACACCACGTCAGCCTATATTTACACTAGCCCCTGCCCTGCCTACAGAGCTATAAGCCAGCTACATCGACCCCTGCAGTGTAGTTGGAGTACAGGGCAGTACAAATTAGAACCGTACATGTACAAGAGTTGAGCGTGGTTTTAGAGCTACACAACTGAATGACAACAATTTGCTGCAAGCAATTTGAATTTTGAATTTGAATTTTGTATACTTTGATTTTGATATAATACAGCGCAAACTATACATTCCATCAGGTTAGAATATTCAAAGATGACTAAATTTCTCGTCCGAATTTTAATACAGCTTTTTGTTTATCTAATTTGGACACCCAGATTTGTTTGAAGTTTTCCCAATAAAAGTCAACCCACTCAACTTAGAATTTTTAAACCAGGCTAAGAAAATTCTCGAAGGTGGTTCTACGAAGTTCCCTGATCTAAATTTGAGGCAAATTGGTTCAAGCATTCATGGCTAGAAAATCCAAATAGAGATTACCACGTTTATTTATAGTAGCTTTGAAGCCCACTAGCTTTGCCTGGAACAACGTGTTTTCCATAAAAGTCAAACAACTCAACTTTGAATTTTTACTCCAAAATTACGCGTAATTGTTAGGACTTTATCGGGCTCGCAATTGCGCGCAAGTAAAATCCACTTGCGTTGGAAACCCTACTCGCTACGCTCGTGAGTAATCAGTTATAGATTTACTGACCTTAATCCCGAACCCGATCCTGATCCCGATCCCGAACCTGACCCTGATCTTGAACCTGAACCTGATTCTGATCTTGAAGCTGAACCTAAACCTGAACCTAGTTTTCTTGGTTCTTGAAGTTCAGCGTTCTAGTGTCATAGATAAATGTTTGAAGTTCTAAACTTTTTTTTACATTTTTCGATTTGTCAAATTTTTAGAATGTAAACTTGACAGGGATAAAAAGTTAAATGACCTTAATGGCCTCTTATTACTTTATGAAAAGAGTTCCATTACAGATTCCTAATGGTATATTATATAAATAATGGGATGGAACATCCACGTTTAAAAAAAAACGAACTGATGGTTTCGTTAACGCATAGAAAAAACGAAAAAAGAAACAATGTCTTACACGACGGTTGTTTTGGTAAAGGATCGTTTCTTTTTGACTAAAAAATCTAATTATAAAACTCTAATTTGCATAGGACATTTTTTTAGGAAACAAACGGTCCTTTCTTTTTTGTTTTTTAACAGTTCAAAGCTAAAAGGTTTTTTTAAAGTCGCAGGTTCATTTGTCTTGAAAAATCAAAAAGGAAACAACAAACGATCGTTATTTTGTTCGTTTAAGAGAAAGATTCCAAACATTCTTTATCTCTTTAATTTTTATTTTTATTTTTGATTTATCTCTATTCTTGATTTATCTCTATTCTTGATTTATCTCTATTCTTGATTTTTCTCTATTCTTGATTTTTCTCTATTCTTGATGTTTCTCTATTCTTGATTAATCTCTATTCTTGATTTTTCTCTATTCTTGATTTTTCTCTATTCTTGATGTTTCTCTATTCTTGATTAATCTCTATTCTTGATTTATCTCTATTCTTGATTTATCTCTATTCTTAATTTATCTCTATTCTTAATTGATTTATCTCTATTCTTAATTTATCTCTATTCTTAATTTATCTCTATTCTTAATTTATCTCTATCCCTGAAGTGGAAGAATCTGGTCGTCTGAACCACAGCTAATTCTCCAGGTCTCATCCTCATCCACCTTACCTTGCCTAAACAAACTTCAGTTTTAACATCCGCCATTTTGAATTCATTTATATGATTGATTGATTGACAATTTGTAATATATATTTTTTGATCAATTGATCACATGCTTCCAGTTTTATTTAGTTTTTACCTTCTCAGATATTCATTAGACTTCTCAGGCTCCTTTTCTATCTTTTCCATTGTCTTATGTTTGTCCTTTTTGACCGAATTGTCCATTTTGTCCAACTTGTACCGTCTAGTTTTGCCAGATCTCTGTTTTGTAAACTTTCAGTATTTTTCCTCATTTTAGTTAATTTTTTTAAGAGATTTAGATACTATTTTTAAAAAAGATACTATTTTTAGTAAAGATACCATTTTTATAAAAGATACTAGTTTTATAAAAGATACTATTTTTAAAAAAGATACCATTTTTATAACAGATACTATTTTTATAAAAGATACTATTTCTATAAAAGATATCATTTTTATAAAAGATACCATTTCAATAAAAGATACCATTTTTATAAAAGATACCATTTTTGTAAAAGAAACCATTTTTATAAAAGATGCCATTTTTAATAAAAAAATCATTTTTATAAAAGATACTATTTTTATAAAAGATACCATTTTTATAAAAGATACTATTTTTATAAAAGATACCATTTTTGTAAAAGATACCATTTTTATAAAAGATACCATTTTTATAAAAGATACTATTTTTATAAAAGATAACATTTTTGTAAAAGATACCATTTTTATAAAAGATACCATTTTTATAAAAGATACTATTTTTGTAAAAGATACCATTTTTATAAAAGATACCATTTTTATAAAGATACTATTTTTTGTAAAAGATACCATTTTTATAAAAGATACCATTTTTATAAAAGATAGTATTTTTATAAAAGATACCATTTTTTTAAAAGATACTATTTTTATAAAAGATACTATTTTTATAAAAGACACCATTTTTATAAAAGATACCATTTTTATAAAAGATACTATTTTTATAGAAGATACCATTTTTATAAAAGATACTATTTTTATAAAAGATACCATTTTTATAAAAGATACCATTTTTATAAAAGATACTATTTTTTTAAAAAGATACCATTTTTATAAATAATACCATGTGGAAGACGAGACCCAGCGGCCTCCTTACAACAAAGCCAGGAACAAAGAAGAGAGCTGAAGAATTCTACGCTGCATTCTCTCTAGTTCTATTCATGTGATTTTCGACCGATATATAAATAGACTTGATTGTTATCTTAGAATCAATTATATACTGAAGAAAGATTCCTTGCGTTATTTGGAGACCGACGCTACGTCCTCCATATTGGTGACCCCGACCTTGAATACGAAGGAGAATGAGTGAACTTTAGACACGAGGGAGGAAGAGTGAATCCTACTTTAAACATATATACGTGATCAAGTAACATGAGTGAGAACGACGGAAACCTTCCAGCCATCGCTGCCCACTACGTCACGAAGGTGGCTGTCAAGCTTCCGGATTTCTGGTCTGNTGAATGAATTATGGATACTACGTTCTTCGGTGTGAGTCGTTTTTACCAATTTTCTCCTTATAGACGCAACAGATAGAAGTAAGATCAGTAGCGATAAAAAGCGCTTTTTTATTGCATTAAGCCTATACCCCCTTTAATTTTTCGCGAACACTCCCTTTAATGGCTATAAGACGTGTTTAACCATTTTTTTCTTAAATACGCAACAGATAAACAAAAAGTAAAATTAGTAACAATCGATATTGAATTCAATTTGATATTAGCATATACCCCTTTAATTTTTCGTAAACACTACCTTTTAGAGATTTAGAAATAAACATTTTGTTTTTGAAAATAATATTTTTAATGATATTTCCTTGTTTTATTTTAGCAGGTGTCCTGGTGTTTGATATTGTCCTGGATTGTGACGATGTCCTGGTACTTAAGTGTGTTCTGCTAGCTGTCCGGGTGTTTAAATGTGCCCTGCTTGATGTCCTGGTATTATTGGATGATATAACAGGATTAGACCAGGAAATATTACTGGGGGATCTGGAAACATTATTAGTTGAAATCCAAATCAATCCAAATCTATCCAAATCTTTTCAAATATATCCAATTATTTATCCAAATATATCCAATTATTTATCCAAATATATCCAAATTTATCCAAATCTATCAAAATTTATCAAAATCTATCCAAATCTATCCAAATTTATCCAAATCTATCCAAATCTATCCAAATCTATCCAAATTTATCCAAATCTATCCAAATTTATCCAAAACTATCCAAATCTATCCAAAATTATCCAAGTCTATTCAAATCTATCCAAATCTACCCAAATGGATCCAAATCTGTCCAAATCTATCCAAATCTATCCAAGTCTATTCAAATCTATCCAAATCTACCCAAATGTATCCAAATCTGTCCAAACCTATCCAAATCTATCCAAATCTATCTAAATCTCTCCAAATCTATCCAAATCTATCCAAATCTATCCAAATCTATCTAAATCTCTCCAAATCTCTACAAATCTCTCCAAATCTATCCAAATTTATCCAAACTATCCAAATCTATTCAAATTTATCCAAATCAATCCAAAATTATCCAAACCTATCCAAGTCTATTCAAATCTATCCAAATCTACACAAATGTATACAAATCTTTCCAAACCTATCCAAATATATCCAAATCTATCCAAATCTATCTAAATCTATCCAAATCTATCCAAATCTATCCAAATTTATCCAAACCTATCTAAGTCTATTCAAATCTATCCAAATCTATCCAAATGTATCCAAATCTTTCCAAATGTATCCAAATCCATCCAAGTCTATTCAAATCTATCAAAATTTATCAAAAGCTATCCATATCTATCAAAATCTATCAAAACCTATCAAAATCTATCAAAACCTATCAAAATCTATCAAAATCTATCTAAATCTATCCAAATCTAGTAGAAATGTAGAAAGTTAACCATAATAAAAACTGAGCTATGAAGCAAAATGCATTTCTTTATTTTCATAATTTATATTGTTTAGCAGTGAATGCTTCTACTCCAATTCTTAATTATTTTCTCTTGAAACCTCAGAAAGCAACATACTCTCTTTCAAATAACTTTTAATAAGTTTCTCTTATCCTGAACTAGGGAGAGAATTAAAAAAGTGGGCCTTTGTAAAAAAAAGGAAATAAAAAGAAAATTGCCGAAAAAAACAATAAAAAATGTCTAACAAGCTTTTTGTGTTGTTTTTGAAGCAGCTTAAAGCTAAATCATTTTCTTTAAATTAAAGACAAAGACAAATTATGGGCCTGTACTTTGGTCCTCGTTGAAAAATACGAGCTGCGATCGTGCAAAGAGATTTGGCATTGATCAATTAAGAGCTTGTTTGATAGCTACGCTTGTGTCCCTGTGTGACATTCAGAGCCGATAAGATTGTGCCCATTGGTTTGGTATTGATTTCTTAAGAGCTTGTTTGATAGCTATGCTTGTGTCCGTAGTGATATTCAGAGCCGATAAGATTGGTCTGGCATTGATCGCTGCAGAGTTTGTGTCCCGGTTGACATTTAAAGCTGACGAGTTGTACCTGGATTAATACAGTTATGGACATTCCTGGTTTCCAAGTACCCCAGCAGAGATAGGGTTAACAAATATAGGGATTAGAAAATTGGAGTATGTGGCAAAAGCCACAACTATTTAAGGTATTATTCAAAACAAACAGTAACTTGGTGGTTCATTCCTATACGAGCGGATAAAATGTTCTACAGCTGAAATGCAAATTTTGTTTTGAGATTAAATGCTTAAATCATAATATCAAAAATAAAACTTAAAAACAAGCATCCTGTCATCTTTTTTAAGTACTTTTTAAAAAACTTTTTTGTTAACACATAAACTGGTGCAGTGGTGCAGGAGAATTTTCAACAAAAAGTTGTAACATTTGAATTGCGATTTAATTAGATAAATGTTTTTCATCCTAAATCTTGAAACTGAAAAATGAAAGATGCAACATTCAACTCGGATCGTAAACAAATCAATTCAATTCCAAATAATTTTCTCCTTATAGACGCAACAGATAGAAGTAATATGAGTAGCAATCAAAAGCGCTTATTTTTCGCCGCAAGCCTACATATATATATACCCCCTTTCACTTTTTCGCGAACACTCCCTTTAAATTACGCCTACAGTCCCTTTATAAAGGTGGAAAAACTTTGTTCATAATTTATGAATTAAATTCTCAAAGTTTAAATCAAAGAAGTTTTGTTAAAAGTTTTCACAAAGATTAAAATTAATTTTTATAAGAAACAACTTTGTTTGGTTTTAAAAACCAGCTTACGGCGTAAATAAAGGGAATTTGAAACGTAATCTTTGCGAATTTCAAAACTGGATCTGTAATATTTTTCACATTCTGACGTTTCATTTCCCAGTATGGAATTGTTACTGGTGGAAAATAACAAAAATTACTTATTTATCTTTAAGATTAAAAAAGAAATAGACTCAGTCAACTTGCAATAGATGAATGGTTGAAGCTAATTAAGATTTAAAAACTCTCTTTATATAATATTTTTCTTGGCGCTCCTCAAAAAAACTGTCATTGTAATTTCCCGTGACCCTCAATCTAAAAAAGGTGCATGCCTGATTCCCAAAGGTACGCTTTACAGTTTTATCTGATCAATATTGTGGAAGATATCGTCGTTTTATTTGCTGTTAGTTTCGAGCAATTGCCTCCTTTGATGCTGCAGCAGAAAACCGCAATTCACTTAATTGAGAAAGCCGAAGGAATCGATAATGCCCCTCTATAACCAAAGAGAATAGAATATATATTAGAGAGAAAGGAATTGAGTATTTGGAACAAAATCAAATATTTAAACCTCAATATCTTTAGAACCCGATGTTGTAAACCTTTGATATTTCAAACTCAGATTATTTGATCTAACACAATTCATAGTTTGAAATATCTAAGGTCTNCTATGCCTTTCTCTTTACAAACGATGATTTTCCGTTATAACTATAAATCAAATGATGTTTTTATTCACCTAATTCATTTTATAAAGTTTATTTAACAGCTTTAAAAAATTTGATATTGAAATGGATTATCTAGGGAACATACTGTATTTGTGTACTCTACCGAGGGATTGTCTAAATTCCACTCTAATATATATTCTATTCTCTTTGCCTATAAATACAGTCCGTATTAATAAAATTTGGCTACCTAATAAATTTTCCTTGTCTCCAAATTCCTTCCTGAACCAAAATATTATCAGATTTTATTATAATTATCATTTAAAAAATTTATGTAAGTCAACAAATAAGTCAATAGATAAAATGTCTTTTGAATATATAACTAGATGAAGTGTTCGGCGTTGTCTGTGGAATTTAAGAAACGCTTCAAATTCCGAATTTTGAAAAAAAAACTATTTAAAGAAAAAATGTAATTATGTAAGAAAAAAAAATAGCCTCTATGTTACACCCCGGAATACTCAAGGGTTCCCTCCAAAGATTTCAGCCAATTTGGTTCAGCCGTTTTCCAGCTAATAAAGCAAACATTTTTATAAATATATATCTTTATTATAGCTTTATTTTATAGACTTATATTTGGCATGTCTGCTTGTTTCATTGTAAGTGTGGGTGTATGTTTGTTTGTTTACAATAAAAGTCACAACTGCTGAATTTGTTAGCGGTAACTCCCATGACCCCTGGAAGGTTTTTGGCCAATCAAAATTGAAAAATGTTGCTTTGTAAACATGTTCTTTTTGAATATTTTGGTAAACCCAAGGTACGTAATGCAAGGAAAGTTATTTCAGATGTGTACGCATTTTTGTACTGCAGTGTACTGTCTTTGGGCGGAAAAGTAAACACAAGACGGATGTCACAGTCTGACATGAAACCCATTTTCACACAAATAATCTATTAAATATTCTGGTCATAGGAAACTATTATGTGAATTTTCAAAATTATTAAAATTTAGTGCTTTTAACTTCCTCGGATACTGAACGAACACTGATGCATCTATTCTTGTTTACAAATTCCGCCCAGAGAGAACTGGTTTTAATATGAACGCACAGTATACGCGACCGCAATTAACTTTAGTACCTTGGGTAAATCCATCAAGTAAATAAAAAGTATTGTAAAATGTCGGATTGAAAAAGCAACATTTAAAAGCTAAAATTGTTTCTTGAAAAGTAAAGTACGTAGCGCTCTTAAAGCCAGTATTAGATATTAAAGACTACATATCTTGGAAAATATTTTAGTAAATATATATACAGTTATTCAAGGAATTAATTAGAAATTAATTTGAAAGTAATGAATAGAGAAAGTTATTAAAAAGATTCTTAAGAATTAATTAATAATAATTTTTTTCCTTAGCGCGCCATCTTTAGAACACGTCAATCCTAAATTTGATCAAATCAAAAATTATTTCGAATTGATCTAAAAATATACAAAAAAAACAAACATAAATATATCCATTTGCGAAATCATTGTTGATCATGTCTGCGCATAAAATTTAATAAAATTATTTTTAAAAAAATTAAATTGTTTGAATATTTTTAACAGTTAAAATTAAAATTATCAAAAGTTATAGAACGTAAATGAATGCCATTTTATAATGTCAACATGTTTACGCAAAAGTTATTTTCTCTTTTAATCGGATTTTAGATTAATATAAATAAAGGTTGCGCAAATGTTTAATTACAAGATAACAATCCTTTTTCATATTTTCACAAACCTAAAATTTTTTAAACTTAAGTTTATTTTTAATCAGTAAAACATCTGGTTTTATAATCCTAATATTTTTTAACCAAATGGTAAAATAATTAACTTTGGCTATTATATCCAAAGATGATACCAGCATCTTTCATGATATCTAGTTTTATAGTTTGAAATATCATAGATATAATAATAAGAATATAATTAGACTATCAAAACATATGGTGTAAAACCTTTGATATTTCAAACTTAGATTAAAGCGATCTAACAGAATTTATAGTTTGAAATATCTAAGGTTTACCACATCGGGTTGCAAAGATATAGTGATTATAAAATCATAGTTTGTGGCAAAGACTTGCATTTCGATTTTTTTATTTTATCGACTAATTTTCTTTAAATAATTCGAATTTTGCGAAAATGGATTATCAAAAATGGTTAAATCTTATTTTCAAATGTCTCATAAAAATTTCGCAAAGATTTTTATCAAAAATTTGTAAACCCTGTCACCTGTATCAAGGTTCTGTGAGGAGGATATATCCCTTGAACCTAACCTCTGATCAGACCTACACCCGGAGACAGGTTTACGGTTCAAGTTCCGTGGAAGAGAATTGATCTCACCGAATTTTCCTGTTTACAGAGAAATAGTTTTAAAAANCCTCTCTTGGAAACTTATGTTATTCTTCTTGCTTAGCCCTATCCCATCACTCGGTTATGCCCCTAACAAGTTACAAAAAAGAATGGACTCCATTGAAAAAAAATGTTTGAAGAAGAAAAATATTTTCTATATATCTCCAATCATAACAACAGAACACTTTTTTAATCTCTATATCTTTTGCCTGTTTTCAAATCCTTCTCTAAAAACTCCAAGATCTCAAAATATCTTGTTATTTTGTCAATTTCAGATTTAGATTCTTCTGGTTGGCTGATGGGACCCCTGGGTTCGAATCCACGAAAATGTTTGGCAAGCTCACATTCCTCCGTGTGCTGATGAATAGAGTCTAAACTCTGTTGGTTCGAAGAGTCAGAAACAACTTTGGCAAATTCCTTTTCGTTTTCCGAATACTCACAGTAACCAGTTTCCGGCTGGAAATATTTTAAACTTGAGAACAACAAACAACTTTTAAAAACATTTTTTTTAACTCAGAGAGATAGATAGTATATTTAGTAAGTAAAAGCTTGGATAGACGTATTTTGTATTCCCAAAAGCATTTTAAACGTTGCTCATCTAGTGAATATCTTCAGATTATGCAAAAATATATATTTTTCAATAAAGAAAAATAGAAACACGAAATTCATATTTTAAATTTAAATAAAATCATTACATATTAATTTGTAACCATTGTTAATTAAAAATTGGCATTCATCTTTCATCATTTTTATGCATCTTTTATCATTGTTATTTATATTATATTATAACTTTTTTGACACAAGATTCTCAGAATTTTATTTTTTAGTTTTTTAGTCCAAATATTTTCTAAGAATCCTAAAAATGTCTCGAGGTTTATTTTTTAAATCCTTTTTAAGAACAAACTATTGTTTTTAACAATTTTAATTAGATTTGTTTACAAAAATTAATTTTATCATCAAAGGGGGAAAGTTGGGGTCATGAAATGAAAAAAAAGATAATTCAAATTACAAGTTTAAAATGTTCTCCTTGTGTTGTGAAGTGCAGGGTAAAGTGCAGGGGAGGTTGCACTGTAAACTGCATTTTAAACTGCACTGCGTATCTTTACAAATTACGTCAAAGCATTCTTCTGCCGCTTCCAACCTAGAAATTAAAAGATACTTATATTTGAAGGGAGTGTTCGCGAAAAATGAAAGGGGGTATAGGCTGATACCTAATTTAACTTGATCTTGATCGATACAAATTTTACTACGCTACGAATTCTATTCGACGTCAGCCTATACAAACAATCCCGTTAACCCTAAACCTGCCAGGGTACTTGAAAACCAGGATACGTTGGGGGGGGG